TGCTGAGTGTATTTTGGGGAGAGTGGCTGGCAGCAGAGCGGAAAGCCAATACAAGATCCCCCACCTCATTATTTTCCCCAGGCTTTTGCTCATCAGTCATGGGTGCTGCATAACAAGATCTGCTGCAACCGTAGGCTTAACTTGGTATGTTTTAAGATGGCCAGTCTCAAGGCAGCAGCCCCAGAGCAAACCTCACAGTGGCTTCTCACTGCCGTTCACAGTGAGCCGAGGGGCTGAGAAGGAAGTGGGGAGGAACAGGTGCAAGTTTCAGCTGTGTCTTTCGCCCCTCATCCTGGTCTGTGCCAGTATGGGTGCTTGTACAAAGAATAAATGTCCTTGCTGAACTGCAAAATACGTGTGCGTAAACTATGGCTGTTAGGAGGCACTCCCAAATGGCAGGATCGGCTCTGCCTCTTGCCCCAGTACCAGAACTAGTGATCACGCAGCCATTTAAAACCAGCTCTATGAAAAAAAAAATTTGCCTTCATGATCGATGACACTTGTGGAAGGGAGGGGCAGCAAGGTGTGCCTGAGGAGGGGAGACAGTGATCCTCAGATAGATCAACTTTAGCCAACAGTAAACTTATACCGTTATTGTATCGTAAGCCATCATATCCATTTAAAATCAACTTTGCAAATACCTTTGAATACCCAACCTGACCTAACTAGTGCGTCATAAGGACACTTTGTGCTAAGACATCTTCATTTCAAAAGAACATCTGAGGTTAATTACTTATGACTCGATTGGCAGGAGGCACGTGACCTTTCTTGTTCTGAGTAAATCACTGTATATTTATCTCACTCTTACTGCCACAGCCCGGAATTCCAATACCTGCATGGGTTCTGACCAGCATTTCAGCTGCATTGCTGAAGCACCACCATGTAAGAAATGATTTTACGGTCCTGGGAGTTGATTCACAGCTGAGCCACATTACTTAGGCTTTGTGCCACGGGGAGAAACGTTGCCATCTGTATGGAAGCCTGGGATATGATGTCAGAGATGGGCTGTGATAAATCAGGTGTTGAGAGGAACAATGCAGGCTTTGCTAGTATAACTACTTGTAGTTCAGAGCCTATTAAAGCTTTCCTAAGCCAGCTCTAGCAGTGGCACATGAAGGAGAGACGTTCAGTCACTGGAGGATGTGCTGTGCAAAGCAGTTGCCTTGAAGGCAGACACAGACTCTCATAACTGTGTAGTGATTATTGCTTTGCAGCAGCAGTGCCCACTCTGTCTGTTCTCTGGACATCTATGAAGGCATTATTTCTGCACCAAAGGGCAGGAAGAACAGAGAAAGGGACAAAATTTATGCAGGTGGAGGCACAAAAGCAGCCTGTGAGTTTGACTGACTGCCAAGAGCGGAGCCAAAGTAGGAATGTGGGAGAATCTGGGAAGGTGCCAAGGGTAACTCATAGGGCAGAGTGAAGTAAGTGTTTGGAAGAGGTGAGGGGAAGCTGAGGCACAGCCTAAGAGCAATGGGGACCAAGGGGAGAATCCAGAGAAGAAAGTGACACAACCCTATCTGCAGACAAGGAAAAATGATGTGAGACTTACCTTTCTTGTTCTGTCAGCATCCGGCTGCCTGCATCTCCAGTATAAAGCATTTGAATTTTCCCTGTCATAACTTGTTTTTACAGCCAGATTTCCTAGCTGCGGGGTGGCAGAGGGAAGAATTTACAAGTAGATTCAAAGCAACTCCTGGAAGAAAGGCATGCTCTGCTTTTTATGCATGCCAGACTAGATTTAGCTGCCTTAATAGGGGATACTGATTTAATAGTGATTACTCCTCTATGGTTATTTGAGCTTTTTAAAAGTACTTTCAGATGCCCATAAGATTGTTAGGACCTAACAATATCGTGCACGGTCTTTAGCAGCTCACCTAGTTAACGTTGTACTGAACTCAGTAGGCAGTGTTCGACTAAAGCACGCAGAAAACCTGGCTGCATCAGAAGAAAATCAGAGTGTAGACTAGGCCTTATATACCTTCCTGGTTTTAGACAATGTAGTGCAATCAGAACAGAAGTCAAGCGTTAAGGAAGTTAGCTGGGTGTTACTCTCTCTGATGAAACATTCTTAACAAGTGTTAATTGCTGTTAGTGGGGAGTGATGTTATCCCTATGGGAAGCTCATCCCTAGGAGCTTTGGAGGGAAAGGAGGTGTAGAAATAAAAAAAAATGAACACACAACATGTAAAATTTTGGAGCTGTTGAAAAACACTGAAGGGAAAAATGTTGCCAAGGACAATACCTGGATATGGGGGCGGGGAGTGGTTTCCAAAGCCTCTGGAGAGTTTTCGAGCCTAAGACTCTGAGTGTGCATAGAATCAGTTTAAAGGGCAATTTTGAAATTTGTATCTTGCCTTTTAATTTCTCTTGAATATGCCTTGTGGTCAGCTCATGTGCAGCGTGAGGTGGGCCAGAGCAAAACCAGGACTGACAAAGCAGACCCTGCTGCTGAAGGCAGCTTAGAAAGTCCTGGGTTTGTGGGGATAACACACAGATTATCTTTGTTGAGAAGCCCGTTGCACAGAGCTATCTACATTTATGTGTATTTCCCACTGCCCTAGAGACCCCATTATGCAACAGGTCATTACTGTTTGTTTGAAAGCTTATATTTTAAGAATCCAAATCCATTTATACAAAGCTTTGTAAAACCCAGGATTTATCTTTGTAAAGAAGTTCAGTAACAGATGCACATGGCCAGAGCTGCTGGCACAGAGCATAGTCCTCCTCAAAGCTAGGTCATCTGCAGCCTCTGACAGCTTAGATGGCAAAGTAACACTGGCTTCCGTTTTTCTTTACCCCCAGTGTCTGTTGGCAGAAGCAGTCAGTCCTGGACACTGCGCAGCATCTCCTTTATCCCCAAAACGAGAATCAGGCAAGTAGAGAAGTTTATGGTACAGATACATGTCCTTTGTGATGAATGAAACTTGTCAAAATGGGTTGAATTTTAGAAGAAAATTTTAACTTGTACGAGACAGAGATGGTGCCTCGTGACAGCCCCAAGCCTTGGCTTATACTGAGAGCCCAGCACATGGTGCAAGGTGGGACCAAAACCGTGTCAAACTGTCTTCCACGTTACAGCGGTGGCACTATTTTGAATCAAAATATTTGGAGACTTTGATAAAGATTCAATATTTTCCATAGATGGCAGTTACTTTTTATGAAGAATCAATACTTAGTAAGATATCTGTGATACTTGTCAAAAGTTAGTGACAGGAAATGTTCATTCAGCCCTACTGCCAAGCTGGCACATGTCCTTTGTTCGGGAAGTTATGTTTCAGAAGCCCAAATCCAAATGGAAGAGGAGAAATTAAGCCATTAACCATTCCAGGGATGGGCTACCTGAGTATTTTCTCAGCAGTTCAGCCCAAGAAAGGAAACACTAAGTCCCAGACATGTAGGCAGCTAATGGGAATAAACTGCATAAATACCTTTAAAACTCTGGCTGTAATCATCAAAGTTTAGTACAAAACAAACGAGAGATTTGGATAGAGGAGGCAGTGCCTGATGAGTTAGGACTGGGAGGTGTAAAAGAATTTGGGAGAATGAGAAATGGTAGCAAGAGGACAAGCCTCTCCTCTGGACCCCTTTTGCTTCCCAAAAATACGCAGCAGGAGGGTGAGATGTGTTTGTAACCTCATATAACGCATCAGAGCTGCAGCCTTCAGTACCAGTGTGCTAAGGATTGAGCCTTAAAAGACACAGAGCCTTCTTTGAAGTCTGTGTCCCTGCTTTTAACACAGGCAAAACTACCCCAAACTTCGCAAAAGTCATACAGATGCTGTTTTCAGCAGCTTTCCCTAAGGCGCAGTAAAATTCTCCCCGGGCGTAGCTGGGAT